AGGACTTCATGGACTCAAGGTTTGATGAACATGTCGGTTGTGGATGGTGAGGGTTCGGGGTTTAGGGTTCAGGGTTTAGGGCTAAGGGTTTGGGGTTAAGGGTTTGGGGTTAAGGGTTTGGGGTTAAGGGTTCGGGGTTTAGGGTTTAGTGTTATGGACCCCTCGACGATTTTTCAGTTATGCACGCAACAGCCTCAGCCCTAATCCATCCCCATCCATTCCACTTCAGAAGCATCACGGATTCCGCAAATAGCCAGCAGCCAAAAAAAAAAACAAGGGTTGTAGTCTAAACTCCGTTTATCCCCGTTACTCTCCTACAGAACCCCCTTTAAGGAGTTTAGAGTATAGCTTACATCATGATGGGTCGGCGAAGGCCGACGGAAAGTCTGAGTTGCGAATCTGTGCAGAGGCTAATTCCCTCTCACACCTACAGGCTGCAGCAAACAGGTTTAGGGTTTCAGGTTTGAGGAGGGCCCCCAGACCAACAAAGCTAGAAGGCCTTCAGATCATTTCGACTTGACACGCGGTTTAGGTTTTAGGATATGTCATTGCTGCTGCAAGTTACAGAAACAGGCACCACATCAGTTTTGTCAGCTGCGCCGGCAGATCTGTGAACTTGAAAACGCAGCTGGCGCAGCACTGGGTACGTGCGCCCTATCGTATGTCTTAATCCGGAAATTCAGTCAGCTTGCTTGGTCAGGAAATGAGGGCTTCCCAAAATTAGAGGTACCGTTGCGAGGGGCCCGATAAAAAGGAGTATAGTATGTTGGGGTCTACATTGGGGTCCCCCCATTTTGGGAAACTCTCACATCGACTTAAAACAGGACACTAGCAGGAAATTCCGTCGCCGACTTCCGAAGCTGTAGGATCCTCGAGCGTTGAGAGTGAATTTCCTTCGTCAGCCTCTGTGGCTTCATGGGTGTACGCAAGAACGCCCTCCGGAGCCCGCGGTCCTGCTCCAGTGAGCAGCATAACATGTTCTACCAACATTCTGGCATCAACTTTGTCCATTCTTGCGAGCTTCTGCATGGTTGCAGTAAGGTCGTCGGGCGTAAGTGCGAGCTCTGCTTGGCCCATGCATGCCGCAGCACGCTGCTTCCAGATGTCAGATGCTCCATGCGGGTGTTTCAGCAACTTCTTGCCAGACACGGCAAGTACGCAAAGGACCTCAATGGGGTTCATCGGAAGGCCCACTTGTCCCCAGTCGTGTAGCCAGAGCTTTGCAAGGTCCTGGGCGCCTGTAATCACTGATCGCTTATGGAAAGACGTGCCGAAACGGAGCGCACTTCTGCGCAGCCTATTCTGCACAAAGTCCAGCCTTGACTCCTCCGAAGGACGGGAAGGGATGAGAGAGAGACGGCTTTTTTCATAGAATATGTTTTGCTGTTTGTGCTCTTTCGTAGAAAGGAAACATTACTGCCAAACTCCCCCTCCCATCGCCCTCCCAGCAGTCCTGTTTGCTTCCTTTACTTCTCCAAATCGTGCCCCCACCACCCCCCCCCCCATTACCTTTCGTAAACGGTACATATCGGAACATCAAGGAGGTGAGCGGGTCGCACGAAATCAGCGGGTCGCAACAGTGCTGAAATCTCAAACATAATTGCGGGAAAACAGGGCACAAGTTTTGTGTCAAATGACGGAGACATTTAAGAAAAAAGGCTCGGCCCGAGCCTGAACATTGGAAGACTGATTCATAGATGGTCATGTGGGGCTCGGACTCGCTGGGGTCAGGCGTCAGGGCTTGAGGTGTGATGCCTTGCGTTTAGATTCCGAAAGGGTGAGGCGTTGCTGAAGTAGTGCGGAGGTGGTGCTGAGGTAATGGTTGTGGCAAGGTGGTGCTGAGAGGGATGGTGAGGTGTCAAGGTGGTGGTGCGATTGTGCTGAGGTGGCAGCGAGGCCGTGGCGGGGTGTTACTGAGGTGGTAGTGGCGAGGTAGTAATATGGCATGGGAGAAAGTAGCTACAAGAAGGCAATAGCCGAGCAGTTGCAGGTGGTGGTCAGGTGGCGGCTAGGACTAGGACGGTGGCGAGAGGTGGCAGAGAGGTGTGGTGAGGTGAGGAGGTTGTGGGGGTTATTTGACGAAGAAAGGGGGTGGCAAGGTGCTGACTTCAGGTGATTGTCCTGGTTTCCCTGGATCCTCAACAAATGAAGTCCAACTCCTAACTCATGATGCGCATGCTGATGTGCGCCCTGATTGGGACACTGGGCACGCAAGCCCAACAAGTTTGGCCAAGCCTGTTCCGACCTGAAAAGTTCTTACACGATTGTGCGTGCTTGCAGCTTCCTCATGATCGTAAATTGAGGGCTTCAAGAGGCCTGAACCCTAGACCATGACCCCTGACGTACCACAAACACTCAAACCCAAACCCTGTCCTCGGGAACCCTAAGCCCTTAGCCCTAAACTGAGGCAATATCCCTGCTCTGACCCTCATCCTAAAGCCCTAAACCCCTAATCCTAAAGCCAAAGCTCACCCCAACTGAAAGCAGGTCCCAACCGTCCAACCAATCAAGTCACGGAGTTTGCTACCCGCTAGCATCGTCGGAAAAGCAGCAACAGGCAGCACTTGGAGGGTCAGGGGGACCTAGTAAGAAGGTTGATAACCCCTATGACCCATATGAGCTTTTGTCTAAACTGCTTGAAGGGGTTTTTGCGGGGATTGTATAGAGGAACTACTACAGGGGGTATTCAGGGGGATACTAGGAGTTTAGACTATGGCTCATATAGTAACCCTAGTAATTCCCATTCTGAAGTCCCCCTGACTCTCCGGGCAGGCATTGGGAAGCCATAGCAGCAAGCGACAGACGGAAGAAAAGGAGCAGGAGCAGGAAGCATCAAAAAACTGGGTTGCTGTTAAGGAACTTGAATGAAGTTACTATATTGGGGAAACCCTATTATTTACTATATATACCCATTATGGTAACTTAATTTGATTTCCTTAACGGCAACCCAGAAAAAACAGCGAAAACGGAAAGAGCGCGCAATGTCAAAGAACAAACGCGCCGAACAAAAGCATGATCGATATCAAAAAGCAACCTAGTAGAAGTGCTCAAGGTGAGAACTTTCGCCAGGTGCCTGCAATAGGATTGGGGTTTAGGACTTAGGGCTCGGGGTTTGGGTTTAGAAATTGCATTTGAGCTTTGAGTGCGCATTAACAGCCAGGGGATCCGACCCCATCCGTAGCCCCGTGCTTGAGAAAAATGCAACTCAACAACTGCTGGCTTGGGTCCTTGAACCCTAAAGCCTAAACCCTAAACCCTTGGGTCCTTGAACTCAAGAGACAGCTTCTTCTCTTTTAATGTCCATCGCAAAGTACAGGGCATGTCATCCTGAAAGAGGGGAAGCAGCCGGTTCACGATGCGCATAACAACAAAGCACGCGTAGCTTTTGGAGGACATGCAAAGTGCCCGACGAGTCTTCAGCACTCGGAGCGCGGAGGCTCTCAACTTGCTCTTCTTTGGCCCTCCGCAGAATCTGGGCAAGGATGCGGGCCGCCATGTAGAGCGCCACGGTCACCAAAAGTACAATGACGAAGCCAGCTATGAGCCAGGTAGTTACAGCATCAGGGCTGAAAAGCAACACCACTGACACGGCATAGAAGAGACCGCATCTGGAGGACAAAAGACACAGCTCCAAGAAATCCAAAATTTCGGCCTGCGCGTTTAAAAAAGGCTTGCACCACAGACTCAAGAAAGGCTGTACCGCGGACAAGAAAGGATAGATAAGCAGCCTTGCTTTGTCATCATTAGTGATTGATGTATACGTCACAAGCATCATAAATGCAATATCTGCCCTCTTAAGCATGATGTCCCACCACCACCACTGTGGCTCAAGCCCTTCCATAAAGTAGCCATATCTGCGGAACACGTCAGGAGCAAACGATCAAGGGAGAGGAGCCTCACTGACACAGAGGCAGGGACTAGGGTTTAGGGTTTAGGGGCTTTCGGGTCTTAGAGGCAGGGAAATTTGTATCCGAAGCATACGTAGGCATGCGAAAGCAAGCTGGTCTCAGAAAACTGAGATGCCCACGAAGCCCTTGAAGCAGGCTTCTAAACCTCCCACTATGATTAGTGTCATTATTACGATTATTGTGACTCTTACGAATAGCGCGGTCAAGAGAAGATGACATGAAAGCCATAATCATCGAAGAGGTTGTATAGGGATCCTTACCAATGGTTTTGGGTTCAGGGTTTAGGGATCCTTACCGATGCTTAACAGGCAGAGTTGCCGAAGGTATAAGAAGAGCGGAAGGCCAACGCACCAAAACACCAAGCCAAAGCCAGCTAAGGCTGCAATGGGCACATGGTCCATCGACCAGCAGATAACTTCTGGATTGGGGATCAGGCGCTGGAGTACGGCATCTTCTTCAGCAATCGGCTTGCACCATATCAGTTGCAAGAACTGAGTGAGGAGCCGTGGCCACAAATTCAAGGAAGTGACCCAAAACACAGGCACGCTCTGTAGAAGCAGCTTACCCACGCCTGGGGACTTCGAGAAGAGGCCGAAGTCCAGTAGCTCTAAGTCCTGAAACCGTACTGGGATAGATTGAACAGAGGGGCCATTAAAATTGAGTTCTTACGGCTTTATGGCTGATTATATAGGGACTGTAGTCCAGAATAATCTTTAAAGCCCATCAAAATTGAATTATTACGGCTTTATGCTATATAGAAATTGTGGGCCATAATAATCTTCAAATGTTCCCAGCATCCTGAATCTGTGAAGGAGCAGCAAAGGCGACCTCCCGCGTCTTCTCTGGCTGCACCAACGTCATCCCTACGGCATAAGCCACAAGCTGAGTCTTGTTCGGGGCTATCTGCAACTTTGCAAGGACCAACTCCTCAAACCATGTATCTGAGCGGAAGTCACCTGAGCTATAGTCTAAACTCCCAGTCTCCCCCTGAAGAGCCCCTTTAGTAGCGCCCTAAATAATCCCCTATATGATCCCTTTAAGGGGTTTGGGCTAATAACTCATGTATCTGAACTGAAGTCACTTGCATCTTCAGACTCATCAATTGTAACCACACAGTCGCCATCGGTAAGCTTCGTGCCATGGTGCGACGCTGATCGGAGCTTCTTCAGCAAGTCTTCGTAGCTCATGCCGGCGAGGGAATCGCAAGCGGTGGTCATGCGCATTAGACCGTCAAAGGGCACATCCTGGGTTGCTGTTAAGGAACTTAAATTACGTTGCTATAGTAAGAAACCTTCTTGTTTGATACATACCCTTTTTATGATAACTTCACTTCAGTCCCTTAACAGCAGCCCAGTATCGTCAATCAGTCCGGTGGCCAGCAGATCTGCAAACTCCAGTTGCAGCCTTCTCAGTTCAGGACTAATGGCCTGCCCTAGTCCCTTCAATGCCAGTTGACGTTTCTTCGCTGCTTGATTGAAGGCCACACCGCACTTGGCGCCCAAAGGTACCACCACGTATACCAAGATGCCACAGGCAATGAAGCAGCCAAGTCCACAAAGCAACGGCAAGAGAATGAAATATAAACCTGGCGCGATGAGCTTCGCTCTAGAGCCTGAGAAGAACTGCTCGGCTGCGCAAGACAAAGCGAAATTCAAAGGTGCCACAATGGCCGCAACATCCAAAGGCGACAAAACCTGTCGCAGCACAGCTGTGGCCTCAGGGTTACATCGGGCTATATAAGGTCATACAAGGACTAAATAGAAATATCAAACCCATGATGGCGAATCGAATGGAAAAGACAGGATGGCCAATAAAATGGAAACTAAGATTTTGTAGGTACATAGAAAGATATTATAGATTCTATACAGGTTCAAAGGGATTCGGAATTCCTGTGGCCTCTTCTGGCCAGGCATACAGCTGCGGCGGCAGTTGCTGGTCACCTGGGTTGCTGGTAGGGAACTTAAATTTAGTTGCCATAACAAGGGAATCCCATTATGTACTATAAGCTCACATTGTGGGCCTAAACCCTAAACCCCATATACCCACATTACGGCAACTTAATCTGTAAATCCTGAATCCTAAATACCCACATTTTGGTAACTTAAACCACAATTCCTAAACCCTAAAAACAAAACACAAATTATGGTATGTGAAATGTAAGTTTCTCAATAGCAATCCAGTACCATCTGGCCTAAACCCTAAACCCTAAACCAATAAGTTGCTCTTAACACCAATATTATGGTAACCTAAACCCTTAACCCCAAACCCCAAACCCTGAACCCTTAACCCTAAACCCTTGAACCTAAACCCTAAACCCTGAACCCTAAGCCCTAAACCCTACACCTTTAAGTTCCTTAACAGCAACCCAGTCACAGGTGCCTGCCGCTTTGCAGGACTCGCGGTGCTCCAGCTCTGCTTGGCGCTGGGAGAAGCTGAAGGCCTGCAGCAGTGTAAAGCTAGGCATAGGGTTCAGGGTTTTTTGCAACGGCCCGCAGACGTCAATGTCTTAGCATCAGCCGAAAGTTAGAAAACTCAGAAATTGAGTCTGCTGACCCCAAGGAAGCTGGAAAGCACTTTCAGGGAAGCTCAGAAGGACCGGCCATGGAAACTAGCACGTCAGTGCAACAGTTACCCCCACGCTGCACAATCATTGCCACTAGGCAAAGGAAGGCGCAAGAGCAAACTGCAAACAGCACTAGATCAAAACCCTTCACTTCTGAGTAGGGCTCGCAACAGGAACTCAGAGCCGCGGGGTTTAGGGTTTAGGGTTTAGGATTTTGGGTTTAGGATTTAGGGTTTGGGGTATGGTCCCCTTAAGTCCATAGGATATGGGGTATATGGAAATCTTTTTACGAGACTGGGCCATTCCATATTCTATCTACTTAAGGGGGACTTTTGGCATAGCAAGGCTACACCAGACTACATGTGCGCAGTCCCTAGTTTTCCTACTTTTTGCTCAACGTGGGGGCTTCCCAGAATAAGGGGTCCCATTTTGGGGGGTCCCTACAATAAGGAACATCATATTTGGGGGTCTATATTGGGGTCCGCCATTTTGGCAGACTACCAAGTGGGGCCAATGCCTGCCACGCTTGTTCTCATGTTTCTGACATTATTTTCTTCTTCAGGCCCCATACACTCCCAAAGCCTCGAGAAAGCCGATCCTGAACTGCACAATGACGGAGCACGCAGTGAACCATTGGATTCCAATGCGAATCATGCTGCTGTGGAGCCCATGGCTGTTGGCGCCTGCCGTGGTTGCTGCAAGTGATGTAGTGATGATGCCCAGCACAGTCCTTTGCAGGAGATCCAGAAAAATGGCTGCTGTCAGCGCAAGGGCGGCATCCACTGCATCTCGCGGGCATTCTTGACATTGCTCTGGATATTGGTTTCGTGCAAAGCCCACTGGACATTGACTGCACATGAAGCCCATGGAGCCGACGACACACATGTTTCCACCCGAGCAAACGCTGGATCCGTTTTCTGCGGCAACATCACAAGCCACGGCCGTAGTGACTCCTCTGGGTTGCTGTTAAGGAACTTAGATTAAGTTACCATAATGGGCATATAAATATATGTAAGAAAATAATAGGGATTCCCCAAGGTAGTAACGTAAATTAAGTTCCTTAACAGCAACCCAGTACTGTCTGAAAGAAACCTGGCTAGCAGTGGGCTGTTGGTGTGTTCGGTTCACTTCAGCTGCTTCGACTGCAAAGCCCCCAAGGCAGCGAAGGCCGCGGTAATTGCAAAATTGACAAGCCTCAAGAGCTTCAACAGGACCGTCTCCCACAATAGCATGGGTGGTTCTCGATGCAGAAACAGGCTGTGGAACGGGTGGCTGCAGGCTCAGAGTTCGCATTGGACGGACATCTTTCCAAGCCGTCTTGATTCCCCGAAGTCGCTTTGTAGAGGCCAGGCGGGCATGGAGAGCATGAAAGGGACACCGACGTGTTGCGACTGTAGCCAGGATTACACACGCATTCCTCTTGAGACATTCTTTGGCCTTGCAAGGTGCCAGACTCGTCATGACAAGGCAGTTTCTGCCCGGTGCCAGGACAAAAATGGTCTTCAGGGCAACCCGCACAGTCTCCTGCATCTTCATAGTAACCAGAACTGCACACACAAGCATCAACTGAGGTACTACCGTGCTGTCGCGTCGACCGCAGTGGCTGGCATCTATCACAAAGCTTATTGCCGACGTCAGCCTTGAACTCACCCAGATTGCACGCAGCGCAGTCTGAAGTCTCAGCCACAAAGCCATATCCAGGGCCACACTGACAATCCTCTTTAAAGGGGGATATAGGGGTTGCATAGGGGTTCTATAAAACTTAAAACGGGATTCTACAGGGCAGCATGGGTTTAGGAGGAATCTGGCTTAGGGCCTGTGATGAGAGCACCGACACGCCCGGTGGAATTGCACGGCGAACGTCGCATTGAATCTCCAAGGAAGACAATCGGGATCCCCTGCTGCTTAAGTTGAGGCCAGCGAAG